TGCCAAACAGGATTGGGTGTATCAGTGCCAGGACATGCTTTCAATCTCCAGTCACAATATGACCAACAAGTGATAATATGCTGATTGATGCTTACATGTCTCAGTCCTGTGCTCATTTGGAGCCAGCTTTTGGGTTTCTCTTCACCATCTGCAGCAGGATCTAGGCAAGAAAAAAAAAGTCTTGTTTCTGAGATTTGCATTTGGTTTTCAGGTTGACGTTATAACATGATGCCTACATGAGGAGACCAGCAACAATGGTTACTCCTACCCCTCAGATCCACTTACAGGCGTAACCTACTTTGAAGGCTGAAATTCAGAATAGCAGTTGTAAAGGCACTATATGTATGATTTGGCTCTGTAGAGATTCCTCTTCCCATTTTAAACCCTAGAAATCCTTAACCAAGGCTGCTGTTGCTGGAGTTCACAATCTCAGACCAGAAGCACAGCAAAAGCTCTCTTTCAAGGTACTAGTGAGGCAATTCATACCAACAAGCAAGAGTGCAAAGAGCTGGGTGTCCCAACTCATCAGCACTGGGATTTGCAGCCCAGCACTGTGTAGCTACATCCGGGCTTGTCTCTCCCAGCTAAGTCATCTGTGTGAAGAGGAACACTAGCACTTACACTCATGCACCCAACATACAATGCTATCCCAAGGGATTAGCACTGCTTTACCTGCACCTGAAATGGTGAATTTCCATTTCAGATATGGCACTGTGGGATTCACATGCTCCTCTGCCAAAAGTCCACATCTCCAGAAATCACAGCTGTAATTGATAATGCCACACCACAAGCACATCAGGCTCTTTACGTTGGGAAACCAATGTACAGTATGGAGTTACAGGCATGGCTATGGGCACCCTAGGCCAACTTGTAAACACTCACAGTGATTTGTTTGCCTCTGAGCTGAGGGATTCACATGGTGAGAATCCTGACACTTGGAATTCACTCCTTTTCCAAAGTCCAAAAGAAGTTCTGTCACAGATTTGCATTACCAGACATGATCTTCCATAGTAGCGTGATCATAATCCAGATGGCCAAGATCTTGTCAGCGCAGGGGAGCCTCTGGCTTTGAAAGAAACTTGCTCCCTTCTGCTGCCTCTCTGTACAGATGCATTTTATTACTGAGTCCCCTCTAAGGCTTTGAGGTTCAGGAGCAAAGTACAAAGAACTGCTGAGAATAGCTGCTGCTTTCTCCTCATCTTCATATCAAGATTTCTCCAGAGACTGATCTTGCCCTGGAGGGAAGGGCAGGGCACATTAGCTGATGATTCCTCTTTTCCTGTGAACTTTGTTTAAATATTTAACAGAAAGAAACTAAAAATATCTCCAGTTAATGCAGCAGACAGCTGCTCAGTTCTGTTGGTGTTCTTCCTCCTGACCCATCTGCTCAGGTGTACATTATGGGATGTGGGTCCCTCCA